GGTGGGCTTGGGATCTGAGGTTGCGTTTTGTTCTTTCTCGTCATTTTGTGTAGAACTGTCTTCTGACCTTTGTTTTAGATCTTCGTTGTAGTTATAACCTTAGCACATACTGAAGTTCAGGTGCAGATCTACAAAGTTTGGATTTATCCAGCTGTGCCTGGATTGGGTCTGGCTGCTGTGCTCAGCTCCTTCCTGCTGCTGCCCTTGAAGGTGAACCTGTTGTGCCCCTCTGGCAAGATTTTCTGCTTCTGGACTAGCTGGATGGTTCTATCCTCTACACTCTCTGCAGGCATTGCAGCTGCAGGGTTACACCCCAGGCCTGTATGCCAGAGCTGAGCTGAGTCTGCAGGGGACAAGGTGGTGTAGGGGGGAGAGGCAGCCCTCCCACACACTCACTGGTCCTGTGCTAGGACTGGGTTGGGGATTCCCGGAACACTGCTCAGCGGGCGGTGTGGGGGAGGAGCTGTGGAGTGGTGGGGTGTGCCCCACGGGGGAGGAAGAGGGTCTCACCCACAGTGGGCCTGGGCTTGGACCAGTAGTGGGTCCTGCCGTCGCAGGGTAGCAGGAAGCTATCCCACACACTCCCTGGACCTGGGCTAGGACTGGGTCTCGTGTATGGGTATGTATAAAAGCAGGATAATTGAAGTAGAAAGAAGTTGAGAATCAAGATCTTGTTTCTGACACTGGCTCTTGTTCTTCCAGGCCAAGTACTTCATCTTTCTGAGCTTTGATTTCCTTATCTGTATACTACATACAAACTATGACCTATGTTTTTCAAAATAGTTTTTGGAGGTCATAGTACACTGGTAATATAGTACCTGAGTACAGCAGGTGCTCCATACTTTAAAAGAAAAATAAGTTGTATCAGAGAGTACATAATTAAAGTAAATTGTGACAGTGTAAGCAATAAAAGATTTAGGTATAGATTTTTCTCAGGATGTCCTTATTATTTAAAATGTGTTTAAGCGGTTTGTGTGTATAAACTTCCACAGAGCAATTAGATTTGTGAGGTTTCAGGGTGTAGAAACTACAGTGTATCTTACACATAAAATACTTTTAGATTTGAATGTCTTGTAAAATGAAATAAATTTTTCCTCCTTTAGAAAAAGAATGTCATGTGACATAATTATTAATAGTATTCATTTTAAATACTAATTAAAAATCAAGAATTAAATTAATTTTAATTTAATTAAAGAGATTAATTAATATTTATTAAATTACTTAGTATTAACAAAATTTATTTGATTTATTTTTCTTAATCTAGCCATGGTAGAAGTGCTTGGACTCCAGGCTTTCAGCTTATGATTTTTTTTTGTTGGAACCGGGGGTTGAACTCAGACCCTTGCGCTTGCCAGGGAAGCACTTATTCCACTGAGCCATCTCCCTGGCCCCCTGCTTATGATTTTTAAAGTTAGTACATATTATTACAGAATAATAGGCTTTATTTTGGCATAGTTTACATGTTTATAACATACTTTAATCATTTTCACACCCTACCACCCCTAGTTTTCTTCCCTCTCCCCCTTACTTTTCTCTTAATTCCCTTTCTCTGTCTCCTACTTCTTTGTCTGCCTTGCCTTGTCTTTCTGTCTCTGTCTCTCTCTTCCTTATACACACACACACACACACACACACACACTTACTTGCTCCATATGTGAGAGAAAGCAGAAGATATTTGAGTCTGGCTTATTTTTCTTAAAATGATAATCTGTAATTCTGTTTACTTTCTTGCAAAAAATATTATTCTCTCATTCTTCATCCTTTCTTCAGCCACAGTACTTCCACAGCTTAGCCATTGTGAGTTGTGTCACAATAAACATGGGTATGCAAGTAGCTCTGTTGTATGTTGATTTTACTTGGAAGAGTGATATAGCTGAGTAAAGTGGTAGCTTTATTTTTACTCCATACTGATTTCCATAATTGGTATACTAATTTATATTTACACTAACAAGTATATGATAGTTCATTTTTTTCTTGCCTTCTGGCTAGCATTCATTCATTTATTCCAGAATTTGTTATTAAGCTCAGAGTATTTGAGTGGAGCTACATCCCCAACCTTTTTTTATTTTGAGACAGGGTCTTGCTAAGTTGCTCAGGCTGGACTTGAACTTGAAATTCTCCTTCTTCAGCTTTTCACTGTGCTAGAATTGGCTAGGGGTTTGTTTGTTTGCTCATTTATTTTTGTTTTTGTATTTCTCCTTTTTCCAATCTTGATAACCACCCTAATCTGAGAAGGGTAATACAGAACCTCAGTATAGTTTTGATTTGCATTTCCTTGATGGCTAAAAATATTGGACATTTTATTATATACTTCTTACTCATGTGTACTGCTTTTGAGGAGGAGTATCTTGGTTCATTTGCCTATTTGTTGATTGAGTCATTTGTTGTTATGTTAAGGTTTTCACTTTTTCATGTGGTCTGTATATTAATCCTTGTTGGATGAGTGACTAGCAAAAATGGTCTCCCAATTAGCAGGCTGTTGCTTTATTTTGTTGTTTCTTTGGCTATGCAGTAGCATTTTAATTTGATACAATCCTAGTTATTGATTCTTGAAACATTAGTTATAAAATAAACCTTTTTTTTCTTACATAAACTTTTCTCAGTTGAAAGCTAGCATTTCTGGGGTTTTTTTGTATTTTAGTACAGGGTCTACAAGGTCTCACTATGCAGATTGGACTCATAGTGATCCTCCTGTTTTCAGCTTCCCAAGTGGGATTTCAGGTGCGTGTCACCATGCCCAGTCTCAGTTGCCATCTCAGTGTGCCCCTGGGGTTCAAACTCTGGTCCCTGTGCCTGCTAAAACTAGCATTTCTTTTTATGTTACTTTGACATAGTTTACTGCTTTTTCATTGGTCTACTAGCAGAGAGCAAGTAGAGCAAAAGAATGTTCCCTTTTGCAGTAGGAGATAATAGAAAAACTTTCAATGTTACAAGGTTACTGTAATATGCTGTTAATATAATTTATTTCTTTACCTTTAGGGATCCTATTGGGCAATAGACACCAATCCGAAGGAAGACGCGCTGCCTACTCGGCCAAAGAAGAGGGCACGATCTGTAGAACGGGTAAAATCTTCTTTTTTGTTTTAAACCAGGGATTGAACTCAGAACCTTGGGCTTGCCAGGCAGGCACCTATGCTGTTGAGCTATATCCCTGGCCAAATCTTCTTTATCATAAATGTAAATGTAATAGGTTGAATATGTCACAAATACAGATTTTAAAAGTTCATTTCAGTTAAGCAAATCTAACCACAAGAAGGGTAAAAGAATATTTAGATAGCATTTTACGTATTTTCAAGGACCTTTCAGACATATTTTTTATTTGACCTTAATGCTGAGACAGAAATTAAGTAAAAGGTTTTGTCATAACTACAGCATAGCTTTTGGCAGAGATTTGCTTCTAGCGCTCGAGTTTCTTTTCTGTACTCATGACTTTGAGGACTAATTTTATTACCACGACTGTTTCCCACCACTGCAGATGATCTTTCTTGGTTGTTTTGAATGTTCCTCATTGTCTTCAAAATGTTTTTCCCTACTTTTAGCCATGTAATAGTCACTTTGTATACAAAATCAGGGGAGAGGGGTTGTTAAAATTCTCCTCTTAAATTTATGGTTAAAAGTAATTTGCAAGAATGAAAGAGAAAGGGATCTGTTGTTGATATCTTCAGTTACATATTATAATATTTAGAGCTACCACTTTAGCTATGACCAGACATTAACTTTACTCTTCAGCTTTCTCCACTTTTTCTGTAATTCCACTGCTTCCGTTAAAACACATATACCCTGCCTTGATGTTCTTCAAGACCTATTTCAAGTGTTTACTGCTTGGTGAAGTCTTTATTCATGTTTTTAATTGTGTTCTTGTAGAATTCTTAGAAATTTTTAAAAACAGAATTTTTTACACTTTATAGAGACATTTGTCTTTTCTGTTGGATTGATCTCTTCTTAGGGGTAGAAAAAATGTATTTTTATCTCCAGTGGTAGTGTTTTTCACAGTTTATAATAGATACCAGGAAATGTTTGCAAAAATATCAGGGTAAAGAGAATAGACTAAGAAGGAAAGTGAATAAACATGTAGTCAAGCTGTGCTTGTTGCTAGTAAAGGGAATTGTGAACCTTGAGAATAAGAACCTTAGACTGGGTGTAGGTTGGGATTATTTGAGCCAGTGGAGTATATCAGCCTGTGCTTAGTTTGTCAGCAGTTTTATTAGAGCTAGCAGAGGTAATTCAGTAAGCCAGTTACCAGGTTATATAAAGTGAAAGATAATTTAGGTTTGAGTAATTTTTTGGGATTACACAGTCAGAGTTTAAGAAGTTCAATTGTAGTACTAATGGCATAGTCTTCTGGTACTAAATCTTGACACTTTTAAGACGGAGATGTTGACATGGTCAGTACCTAGTGGTTTGAAAGAGAGTACATTTCAGCGTCTATTCTATTGTCTCTGTCTTTTAAAACAGACTTGGCACTTGGACTTTGTGTAGAAATGTGGAATACAAAACAGCCTTTTGCCACAATTTGAAAGAAGGGGAGAAAAATCCATGTTTTTGATCCATAGCATTCTCAACCAAGTTGGATATATAGGTTGACAACCTAAGTCTTGTGGTCTCCTGTACTACTTATATTTTCTGAAGTTTCTGGAAGTTGAATTATTTTTGGAAGTTAGAGTTGACAATTTGGTTGACAACTGCATTCCTTTTTGATGTTAAACCTGTATTTAGTCCTTTATACTTGTTTTAGAGTCCTTAGAGAAGTCTTCATTTCTGAGAGTTCTTTTCTTTTTGATACTATGGTCAGTTTTATAGAAGTCTACAGAAATACAGAACTCAAGTTACAGAAGTATGCATTTTGAATTATACATCTTGGAATATACTTGATATATTTCTTTTCTGCTGCTTAATCTTTTTTTAAAAAATGTAATCTTTAAGTTGAAAATGTAAAGGTTGTGCCAGGGAGGTAGCTCAGTAGCATAAGTGGCTGCCTGGCAAGCACAAGGTCCTGAGTTTGAGCCTCACTACCAAGGGGGTAGGTGGAGAAATAAAATATAAAGATTTCAGAAATTAACTCTGGGGCATAGTTCCACAAATGTTTATACATACTGTACCTTAAATTTTCAGTCAGTAGTAATGATATTTAGGTGGCCCTGGCTGTGTTAGTTGCTACTATAGGAGAGGAACCTGAAGAAAGAGGTCAGCTGTGAGCAAAATACTTACTGTGAGATAGATAATACTTAATAAGTATTCTGGAAAAGTGTTCTCACAAAAACTAATTTCGTATCCTGATAAACTAATTTGTCTTCTTCATCTAGAGATGGGAAGGAGAAATTATGTGGTATTTTTTATTAGGACAGACTTTATATTTTAAGTAACTATTGGATTTTATCTAAGGAAACACCTACTGCTGTTAAATTGTGATGGTTCTGAACATGATCTTTAAAACATTTAGCTTTCTCCAAATCTAAACAAGACTTATAGGTTGAATACTTTTAAAGGATAAAAGGACTTTTAAATGTAGATGGTAAATACGTTGACATCTAAAAGTTCTTCACTAAATATCTGTAAGTTATAATTCCTTCATCTGTGTAATTAGGATTGTTTATAGAAAATCATATCTCACACATTTTCATCTTGGAGATAAGCTTTATATGGCACAAAAAAAAAAAGCTTTCTGAACTGCTGGAGAAATTATTTTTTTAAATATAAGCAAGAAAATCTTTTCCTAAATGGAAAACCAAGTCTGTAACACCTGATAATTATATCCACCTCTGATTAGTTTGTTTGTGGTCCTGGGCCTTGAAACCAGGGCCACTCTACCACTGAGCTACAGCAGCCCTTTTTTATTTTGAGACTTGGGTCTTATCTAGTTGCTCAGGCAGAACTCAAACTTGAGATCCTTCTGTGTTAGCCTCCCTAACTGCTGTGTTTACAATTGTGTATCACATGCTCAACCAGTCTGATTCTGAGTTCTCTGGACTGCTTCCCTGGTTTCTCCCTCATTTTTATGATCATAAACCTGTGTGCTGTCATTTGTTATACTATATCTTCTTTTCTTAATTCTTGAATATATCAGTGTGTCTCTTCCTTTTTCTAATTTCATTAATCTTACCTCCTTAATCATAAATGACTTGAAACATCTTTAAAAAATAAAATTTTAGGGCTGGAGAGATGGCTCAGTGGTCTAAAGCACCTACTTGAAACAAGCTTAGCAAAGCACAGGGACCGCGGTTCGATCCCCCAGCACCACATGCCAGCCAGCCCCGCCCCCTGGTGGGCTG